AATAAATAAATAAATAAATAAATAAATAAATAAATAAATGAGTGACGTGTGTCTTTCTCTACACAGTCAGAACACTTCAAGACAACCTCACAAAAAGTGGCTCGGAAGTACTGGTGGAAGAACATCAAGATGATTGCAATAATCTGCATCATTGCTGTCATCATCCTTATCCTCATCATCCTCCTTGCCACTGGCGTCATTCCATCTTAAGTTTTTCCCCCACCACTGGGACTTTTCTGCTCATAATTCCCACATTTTTTATTTTGCCTCCATCACCTCCTCCCTTAATAGCTGAAATTCCTAACTGAATCACAAGACCCTTTGCCAAATGCTGCGGTCAGGAGGGCCAGATTGCTTCCCTGGAGCATCTTCTTCCCCCCCCCCACCTGCCAGTCCCCATTATCTCCCCCCCCCAGCTTCCAGGAGTTAGCACTGGGGTCTCTTGGGTCCACACAGCATGCCTCAGCAATCCCTCAGCCATACATGTGAATGTAAACAAGAGGAAGCAGGGACCATTTCTCTAGATTATCCCCACCCAGCAGAATATATCTAGGTTCTGATTCTACAAGTGCCTCAGCTGCTACTTGGAATGGAGCTTGCCAGCCTGTGTCTGTTTTAAACCTTGGCTAGATTTCTGGAATAGGCTGTAGAGATGCCAGGGAAGGATCCCAGTCTCGTTTGGCCAAGTCCATTCTGGGTATTCATTCCCTTCCACGAAGCCTTACTCTCAGATGTTGTCCTTGTCTTGTGCCTTTCATAATCCTGGATGAAGAAGAATTGAATTACTGAAACTTACCTGGCATTGTAAAGGAGAGATGTTTTTGAAATACTATTTTAAAAATAAAATGAGGAAGCATTGTTTGTTAAGGTTCTCTAAATTTTTATTTCTTTCTCATAGGATAGTTAACTCCTTGAGATGTCAATTCTGAGGTCCAGATGGATGCTTATTCTCCAGCTGGAGGACCTCCTGAGTGGCACAGGAGAGAGGTTGCTCCTCTGATCTGCTTCACTCCCTTTGATTGGCACATAGTCTTCTTTCAGCTATGGCCTTTTCTGATCTAGTTCCTCTGATCTTTGAGGAATCTCTGGGGGATGTTTATTCTCTTTTGCATTTGATTTACTAGCTGTAATAAATGTATTTATAAGTTGTTGGCTAATACATGGATCTGTTTAGAAGAAACTTGCCTTGGTAACTCATTTCATAGCACTTGGGTTCAGCTGCATTTCATACACACTGTTATAAACTATTGGCCCACAGCCCACCTATTTAAGATATGTAAGAATACTTAGCATCTAGGTAGTGCTTCAAAGTTTTCCATCTTAGTAATCCCCTTGCAAAGTAAATTTGTATTATCTAATGGCAATAGCAATGTGCTTATGAATACCTTTCTCTTAGACTATCACATTACAGTCATGCCACAATCATGCTAAATTAAGAAAACGTATTCTTGTTTGGCTGGTGTGGGTCTTCCGGGCTGTGTGGCCGTGGTCTTGAAGTTTTGTTTCCTAACGTTTCGCCAAAATCCACAAAGAGTCGATCCCACTCAGACCCATCGTAAGCGCCATTGGCTCC